AGGAGAAATGTTGGATAAGAATGGGACAAGCAGGAAAAACCCGTTCGTTTCCGAAGAGTATGTGATATACTAAATCCTTCATTTGGTATACTTTTCTATGCCTATATGGTGACGCTTGTGAGTTAGAATGTGCCTGAGCTACTTGGTTTTCCACTTGCATGAAATACTTTTGATATGGTTTGTCCAAATTTTAGCTAAGATCATTTCAATTTTTCTCTATGTGATTGAAATCTGCATTGCAAGGAAGGATTTTGGGAATTCATATAAGCTTAACATTAGCGATGTTTCTTCCTTTTGATGATTTTGTCCACCTTGATATGTTGCAATAATTGCAGGCTTCTCAAGAAATTGAAGAGATATGGAGTTTCTGGAATATTGTCATATGGGTTACTCAATACAGTCTATTACACTATAGCTTTCCTCTTGGTGTGGTGAGTAGAATGGATTTCTGAAGGTATGCTCTGCATAGAGCTGCAAGAACATTGTTATTTATCATGGACTCGTACTTTGTTTTCCATTTTCTCTCTTCTACATTCTGGTTTTCATAGGTGGCTGAAGTTGTCCCTTATCACTGTCATGTTTGTTTTGGCATCTTATATGTTTCATCAACTCCTTATCGTAACGTAGGAAGAATGTTTAAAGTCTACTGCATCATCATCAGTACTATAGAATGTCTGTCTTTAGCGCAAACAAACTAAAACTTATAGGGTCTAGGAAAGCAGACTCCACTGCATGTTATCTGCCAAATTGTCATAAAAATATATATCAAGTTTGTTGGCACTCATATTGGTTTACATCAAATGTTAGTACTAGACACGGTCACACAGTTGTGTCCACGATAATGATACCAGTTCAATAATTTGATAATATAGTTAAATCTGTCTTTTCGTGAAAGCAGTGTTTAGTTTTTGTAGATTTTCTGTGTGCTTTGCTCCTTCATAACATACTTGAGCAAGAGCAGTGACGATAATGTGTGTGTATATAGGTTTTATGTAGCTCCAGCACCCGGAAAAATGGGTTATCTTGCTGCGGCTGAGAGGTATGGAATATTATTCAGCATTTCCTAGTGTTACAAGGATGTGAAAGATTTGTGTTGCATGCAGATTTCTTAAAGTGATGGCCATGATCTGGGCTGGAAGCCAAGTTACCAAGCTCATCAGAATAGGAGGGTAAGTTGTTTTATATTGTACCATCGTGATAGAAGACAGATTATGGCATTATTGATTTATCATCAAAGGTCAAAATGCCATTTGATTTCCAATGTTGATTTAGTGTAAAAAGTCGTAGCAAGTCATAAAAAGTGCCAAATACTTCAACCTTCTCTTGCGTAGTCTAGAAGAGATAAGTAATTGTTATCCTTCGAATTAGCCTTACGCTGTTAAGATGCTAGTGGCTGTGACATATGTACCTCCAGTTTGATCCATTGTTCTAATCATGTTATCTTGTTATCAATGTTGATGAATGCAGGGCAGTCGCACTTGCACCTATCGTAGATAGAGGATTGTCGTGGTTTACAGTAAAATGCAAGTTTGAAAGCCAAGGAAAAGTGAGGCACTTAAAATTGCTCTTTGTAATACATGAATAGATAACGATGAAGAGTGGTTAATCTGTGGATGCATTGCTTTTGACAGGCTTTCGGCGCAATGGTTGGGATATGTCTTGGTCTGGCTTTGATGCTGTTTATCGTTGTGACACTGCTCTGGGCATAGCACAGAATCATAGTTCAATTTTGTAGATGTTGCTTTTACAACAATTGTTGTTTTGGTTTACAACAGTATTAACTTTGAAGTGAATGAGTAGGATTTATTCTAAAGAAGAGGCTTTATATTCCCGATGAAAGAAGAATTGTATGTAAAACTCAAATAATTAGTAAAAGATTCAAATTGTGTGCTCTCTTGGAACAAAAGTTAAAGCTGTCTAGATAGAAGCTGTGGCAAATCTCAGAGTTCCAATAACAACAAGACATAGAAACTGGTTATTTGGGGAGGCCAGTTTGAGGATGGAGAAGGGCTTGAGTCTGGTCCTGAAGCACCACAGGACCTTTTCCAGGTCTGCTGCATATAAAATAACTCACTTCACCTTTTTGGTCTTGACATCCAATTTTGTCTTTAATTTCTTGTGGAACCTCTCTTCCTTCCAAGCCTGCCTCTTTTACAATTGATGTATCGCCTAGTACGTAACTATTTCCAAACACCATTTTGTTTTAGTCAGAAATTA